CACTGGGCGTCCGCCTGGGGCCCGGCGCTGCCCTTGAGCCTGGGAAGACAGTGCTGAGCAGGGATCAACCCCGTGCTGGGGAGAGGGGCGGAAACAGGAAACTAAGGCAGAAGGGATGGGGAAGTCAGGAGGGGGAGCCACTCAGCATGGGGCAGGGAGGAGAGATGGGGTTTGGGGACCTTGTGTGCCGTGAGATGAGCCAACACTGGACTCAGGGAGGTGACCCTGTGGCACCTGGGGAGAACAGAGGGCAGGGCAGGTGCTGAGGCCCCTGGCGGAGAGGGCTGTGTGGGGAGGGGTCAAGCGACAGGCCTGGGTCGAGGGTCCTGTCCTGCAGGCCCTCAGCAGGGCCGCTGGAGTACACTTTTCCTCTGCTGAGGGGGAGCTGTGGCCATGCAGGGCCTGACTCACGGTCGCCCTCTAGTGCCCGTCTGGGGCTCAGACTGCGGGGCGCTGTGGCCAGAGGGCCTGTGATGGGCTGCCCTGCGGGGTGCTGGTCCTGCAGCTGCTCCTCCCCCTGACCTGTGAGAGGTCCTGTGCTCCTGGCCCCTGTGCAGGAACTGAGCTCTGCCCTGCCTTCCCCCGGCCAGGACGCCAGCCACTGCCCTCTGCGGGGATCCCTGCCTGCCTTCTGGGCACGGGCTCTGGAGACATCTGTCTGTTTTCCCTCTGCTGGGGAGCTGCTCTAGATGATCTGCCAGGCTGGATCTGAGAGATGGGGTCCCCCAGGCAGAAACTGGGGCTGATGTTTCTCATTGTTGTTCCTTTAACCCTCAGGGTGACTCGGGGGGCCCGCTCATCTGTAATGGCGTGCTTCAGGGTCTCACATCCTGGGGCAGTAACCCCTGTGGCCAGCCTGAAAAGCCCGCCCTGTATACCAAGCTGGTGTCTTACCGGAAGTGGATCAAGGACACCATGGCGGCCAACCCCTGAGTGCTCCTGTCCCTCTCTACCTGTAGTAAAATCAAGTCCACACCAAGTTCTGGCATCATCCTGCGTCTCTTGTTACTGTGCATCTGGAAACTCAGAGCTCACTCGGCCGATACCAGCGCCTCCCAGCGCTCCCAGCCTGTGTCTCGAGGGGTGGGGCCAGGGCTGCAAGGAAAAAGAAGTGGAGAGACCAGTGTGCCCTCCTGGGTTTCAAGTGGGTGTAATTTCTTCGTCCTCTTCTGTGTCTCTGAGAACTCTGACTGCCTACAGCCAGCTCTGAGAGGTCGTGCAGGGACACACAGAGGAGATGGGGGGCGTGGCCTGCGTGTGGTGCAGAGATGGAGCCGGAATGGGACAGTGGACAGTGACATGCGGAGACGCTGTTCACCCAGCATGGAGCCGGAGCTGGAAGCACAGTGCATGCATCAGACACAGACACAGCAAGGGGGGCCTCTAAAACATCACCACTTGGCCCTAGTGGCACCTGTAAGCCTGAAGAAGATTGTGAGCAGGGTGGGGAGGGTCCAGGGAAGAGACCAGAGCCCTGGGAAGCTGATCCATTGTGGGCGGGGTGTGGAGGTCCTCCACGCCACCCTCAGCCTCCATGATATCGTAACTTGCATGGCTGACCTTTACTGCTCGGTTGCCAGGCTCCCTGGAGCATGCCTCAGACTCCCTGGTGTATGCAGGCAGCAGTCACTGTGAGCTGCCTGGCGTGGTCCACGGCCCTGGCACACTGAGGCCCTGTCGGACAGAGTTCTGAGGAGTCCGCTGCTGTCTTCCAGAAGCCGCTCGAAGCAGAGCCTTCCAAGGGGGACGTGGGGCTGAGAGCTGCAGTCCCCTGGGTCAGTCTTCCACTGATTGGGGCTGAGAAGAAGGGAGGGATGAGGACAGCAGCTGGGGATCTGGCCCGGCCCTGGGATCGGGTGGCCATGATGAGCAAATCTGGAGCTAGGTGCGGGCCTGAGGTCAGGCCCTGCACTCACCGAGGACACAGTGACTAGTCTCTGCCTGTCTCTACACCATCAGTGAGGGACAGGTTCCCACTGCGGGGTTATGAGGATGGCTGCACACAGGCGATCAGAAGCTGGGTTAGCACAGGTGTCCACAGTTTGGGAAAGAGGACCCTGTGTGCCGTGCAGGAGGCTGGGGATCGTGCTCAGGGTCAGCGTGATGGGAGGGGGTGGGGGGTCAGGCTTTGTAGCACAGGAGATGGGTGAACCCGGGCTCCCACGAGGGAATGTGGCAGCCTCACAGGCTGACCGGAAGTGAAACCCATTAGACTGAGGACCTTCTGGGGTGCAGCTGCTCCCCCTGACAGGGAAACTGTTGGGGCGGGGAGTCCCACTGGGTGTGAGGCATATCTGGCAAGAGCATGAGACTTTGTGGGCCTTTTGAGGTGCTCCCAGTTATAGCTAATAAGACGGCATGGAATAGTTATTTTCAGGCTTCACAACGCATGAATGTAAAGGGGTATTTGATGAACATAAGTCCTCTTTTGTGAGTGTCTTCGGTTGTGCTGTCCTGGCTGCCTTGAACATAAACATTTTTAGAAATTGAATTTTAAGCCAGGCATGGTGGCACATGCTTGTAATACCAGCACTCTAGGAGGCTGAAGCAGGAAGATCACAAGTTTGAGTGAGGCCCTGCTTCAAAAAATAAAAAAGTCCTGGGGATGTAGCTCAGTGCAGAGGCCCTGAGCTCAATCCCCTGTGACAAACACACACACACACACACACACACACACACACACACGCATCTGTGCACACAATAGATTTCAGACTAAATTAGAAATTAATAAGCATACTGAAAGAGATAACAGAAGATAATAAGAATATCAAACAGGACCACGAATAAAAATTAGGTACAAAAATATAATGCTTGAAACAATTTTTAAAAAATTATTGATACATAGCAGCGTGGAATACAACTGAGGAACACAGTAGTGCCTCGTGAGGCCAGGTTAAAGTACGCAGAAAAGCTAAACAAATGCTATGTGATACGGGTGCTAGAGGGACAGATGCTAACATTAAACTCTCAGCAAAATTGGAGAGGAGGAAGTAGGTCAGTAACACTTGGAGATAGAACTTACAGAATTTAAAAGGTCTGACAGAATTCCGATGCAGAGGGTCCACGGAGCGCCGCTGTGGACTGGTGTTCCCCCTTTAGAAAACTCGGGCTGTGCACGGGCCATCCGTATCCATTCTAGGCCAACACCGAACGGAAATACCTAATTCATGAGAGTTCTTGTGTAAGAAGGTTCACAGCAGCTTCATACTGGATGATGACCTCATCCTGGGGATGTTTGTCCACAGGAGGGAGCAACAAATAATGGTGTATTCCTACCGGTGAGGAGAGGGTGGAATGAACCCGGGTTATGGCCCATCCAAGATGGAGGATGAGAAGGAGCAGAGAAACACAGAACAGAGCGAGAGGGAAGGCAGGGGAATAGACGCCGAATGAGAGGGGGAGAGATGGAAAAAGTTGGGCAGAAGCCCCCAAAGAGGCACCCAGAGGGAGTAGGTAGACAGTCTCCCCTGTTACTTAGCCTGATTAGTTAACATCAGGCTTCTGTGCATTAAGCTCCTAGAATAGTCATGGCGAACCTTTTAGAGCTTTCAAAGATACAAAGGGCCCACTGTGGCATATGTGCCATAGGTCTGCCCCCACTGACCTAGAATGGGCCCCGTACTGTGCTAGAGTGTCACGGGTCCCTCTGGCTCACGGGTGCCCCCTCTCTTACCTTCCCAACGAGACAGGAGCGGGGTCTCTGCCAAGCACAGCACCCGGTGGAAGTTGAGGGCCCAGTATGCTTCCTCTGAGGTAGTAGTATCCTTGCAAGATGTGGCTGATTCTCCACATGGCCCACGCGCACCACTCCTCTCCGGGTCTAGGATTGTGAGAATACGCTTCAACCCCCCCAGGTGGAGGTGCAAAGTCTGTGCTCCGAGGAGGACTGTTATACTGCAGAGTAGCTGCCTCCTTGTTCTGCTCATACAGAAGACACCTGGGCAGTATGCAGGGTACAAAATATGGTAAGCGTTTAAATGAAAGGAATTTATTTTCATGAAGGACACATTGCCACGAATCCCCCTCGTGTGTGCTCTCCTGGCTTCACACACACTTATCTCATTGTCCTTGTTGCTTTCTGCGGAGCTCTGAAGTCTTCTTCTGTGAGTGTCTTCAGTTGTGCTGTCCTGGCTGCCTTGATGTCCTGAATCCATTCAAAATGTTTACAGCGATTTCTGTCAAATCAAACCATGACATTGTGTCGTCATTCACCTCGTTCACTGGATCTGGCACTATTTGGCTTATGGCTTTTCTCCAAAGTCACACCGACCGTGAAAGGTAAAGGTTTTGAATCGGTCCAGGACATTGAGGCAGCCGATGATAGCACAAGTGAAGACACTCAGGAAAGGGGACTTCCAGAACTGCTTCAGAAAGTGGCGAGAATGATGTCCTATCACCATATTTAATGATCACATTTCTTAGATGTAGACGTGGATATTAAGGGTATGGAGCAACAATGGAAGAATCATAAAGGTGGATCAGCAGGATTTATTGATGCAGACTTGCTGACCAGGTATTCTGTGTTTGATCGTGCAGCTCAAGGATCTTACTCTGTTAATCTGGCTGGTGGAAACGTGGGCCTGAAGGTGGCCTATACTAAAGGAAGCTGGAAGGCCAGACTTGCCTCGGTACACTGTGGAGGCAGGGCTTCACGTCTTTGGGAGATGGGAGCTTGGTGGTGGGTTTGTCATCTGAGATCTGCTCACCACCTTGGGACGCTCAGAGGACGCAACTTTCACCATGACCATGGGAAATGAAGCGTGACGGGAGTCCCAGCATCCTCGAGGAGCTCTGCAGAAACAGCAGTGGGAGCCACTGCCCCTGGGTTGGGAAGCATAATGCAGCAAGCACAACTGGATCTGGAGTGCTACGGACCAAGCGTGCCACTTAACTGCCAAACATGGTGGGCACGGGAATGCAGTGGACCGCAGAGGCCAAGCGGTAGTGCGCACAGTCTGACTTGTAGAGACTCATGGACCCTTGGCCCCATGTTGCCCTGGAAGAGACAGATGGGCGGTCTCCTAAATTCTTACCCATGAGTTCAAGGGAGCAGAGATCGAAATTGAAACTTAAAAAAGTCACAATCCCGACACCCCATCAATTCCCACACTTGAGCCAGTGATCAGACCTTTGGGGGATTTTTGGGCACTGACTCTGAACTGCCAATAACCACAAGATGCTCAAAACATTACCGTGGCCCCGGGAGTCAGGAGAGAGGCTGATGGAGGCCAGGAGTTTTGCCTTAGATCCACTGCACAAGCCAGCGGAAGTACTAGAACTCTATCTACCTGGGGAAGCTGTACACTGGCACCCGTGCTGTGTTCCTGTAGGGATAGCGGGGTCGGTGCAGGCCCTGAAGGACTCAGGCAGGCGGTTCCCATCACAGCCCCATTCAGCTGGCCTCTTGGCCTTGCACAAATCAGATGGCTCTCGGGACACGACAGTGGATTATGATAAACATCACCAGGCAGTGAGCTCAATCTCCAGCTGTTCCAAATGCAGTCTCACTTTTTGGGCAAATCAATTCATCCCCTGGTACCTGGTGTGTAGTTGTTGATCTGGTAAATTTTACCCCCAACACTTGTTCAAGCCACCTGAAAATTTATTTCCAAGTAATGAGTCTTTATTACTCTTTATCGTCCTTTTACTGTCCAAGGGATCTGTGGTGTCTGTCTGTCAGGGATCTGTCATGTCTGGTATTAATAATATGCGTTTTGTCATCTTTTTCTTGGTTGTCCTGGCTAGAGGCTCCATTTTATTGACTCTTTGAAAGGACCAGGTTTTCTTTAGTTCGATTTTCTGTACTGATTTCCTGTTTTCAATCTCATTGATTTCAGGTCTAATTTTTATCATTTATTGCCTTCCCCCCAATTTAAGGCTTCAGTTACTATCTGGGGCCACAGGAAGTAGGGCTGGAGGGCCGAAGGCAGGGTGGAGGCTGGAGAGGGGTCCAGAGAGAGGATGCTGCCAGAGCGGGGGCTTTGGGGATGGAGCAGACACAGGGCAGGAGGGACGTGGCCGGCACTGGACAGAACGTGGGGCCCCTGGCATCTGTCCTGGTGCTTTAGGGCACAGTGGGTCATCGTGTGGTATGAGATGTGAACCCCAACAAGAACAGGTCAGAGGGCATGGGATGGGAAGGTGAAAGGATGTTTCTGAAGCAACAGGGGATGTGTTTGTGCCTAGAGGGATCCGGCGGGGCCAGTGGAGCTCAGCTTGGTCCGAGACTACATTCCTTCTGCAAGGGGCAGCTCCGCTGCAGTCCCTTGTCCACCCCAGCTGGGCCCCTCTCCTGTTTCCATCTCTAGCAGGCCAGGTGCGTCCTCAGTGCTCATGTGTCTGTTAAGAACTCTGAAGGGCCTGGGATTTTACTGCTGCAGAAATAAGAAGCTTGATCCACTGCCATAGCTTTATTGACACTGGCAGAACGCACCAGATCTTGGGTCAGAGGCAGGGGACTTTATTACCCACAGCACAGTGGGCAGGGTGGCTTTTGTGGTGACAGTGACTCACCTTCACCCCCACATCCCACGGGAGTGATGAGAGTGGTCCAGGAGGAGTCTGTGCACCTGATAGTTGTCCCCTGCTGAGGAAGCTGAACTTAAGAGTCCTTAGTCTTATGATGGAAAGCAGCTTCTAGGAAATCTGCTTCACATTTGTCTCAGTGGAGATACGATCTTTGTTATCTCAGCACTGGCAGACCCGGTGCGGAGGAACATATTATACCGTCGTGCTGAGCGCTAAACAAACAGGTTTAAGGAGGGCAGTATCTTTGTCATCCTTGACATTAAAACAGCTGAGGTGGGGCTCCCCTCTGAAACACTGCTTTCTGGCTTAACATCCTTGATAGTCTGGACCGAAAATGCATTAATTCTTGTTTGGAAGACATGGGGTCATGCGATACACAGGGGGAGATTTTCCCCCACACCGTTCAGCCTGCCCCTCCGCCCTGACCTGCGGAATGACTCAGTTTCCTTCCTCACAGTCTCCGTCCACCACATCTGTGTCCCCACAGCCTCCCCCAGCTTCTGTGCCAGTTTCCAGCGATGTCAAGAAGAATGCGGGGATTTGATCTGGGCGTGCAAGCCCTGCCCTTGTGTCAGTGTGTGTGTGCAGCTCTGACCTTGGAGAGACACCCAGGTATCACGCACAGAGGGTCATCACCCTCTGATCTTGAAAAGCCTGTTTGGTACTTGTGCATAGTACAGGTGTGTTGTGTGTGTGTGTGTGTGTGTGTGTGTGTGTGTGTGTGTGTATTTGTGTGGTGGGAGTGCCAAGCCCTGCCTCTGCATCCCCTTCCCACACACATGAACCATGTCCCCAAATGAGAAACCTGATAAATAACCAGCACGGAGGATCTGACTTTGGGGGTGGTCTAGAGCTGGATAAAGATCTCTTGACCCAGATCCTCATGTCTCCAGGACGTGTCTTATTTTCAGTGTCTGGGAGTAGCCAGGACCCTGGCCCGGTAGGTGCATATGGGTTCTCTGGGCCCCTGAGTATCTGGTCTGAGGAACTGAGAGGAGCCGGAGTATTGGGACACCAATGTTGTTTTGGAGAAGAGTTGATTTGAAAAAGACTAGAGAATGTGCCTGGGGAGATGCCAGAGTCTTCCTATTTATGAATCTGGGGTAGTAGGTTGGGGAATCTTGCTGCCTCAGTTTATTCTGAGGGCAACAGTAGCTTCAGGGAATCTATCATTTAAATTAAGGTCTTGCATCGACAAACAGTGTAGAGGGAGTTTTAGAAGCCGCAGCCCATTATTTCATGGAGCGTGGGGACACGAGGGACTTGCATTTTCTTCCTGAGAGGTGAAGGAACTGGGGTGTCTCAGAAACTTGGTACAAGAGTTTGAGGATGCTCTGGGCATTTGGGCCCGAGACCTACTTGCAGCTCAGTCACATTGGTGTTCGGATTCCTCAAAACCCCCGCTGTGTGTTCCCCAGGTCTGTCCTCACCGCTCTGGCTTCAGCAGCTGCGGGCCCTGCGCCATTGGACCTCAAACTTGGGACAGCATCCAGAGTGATCCACGACCCACAGGAACAAGGTGCTCCTCGGTCACCTCTTCCATCGCCCCGAGGCTATGTGGTGGCTGCTCCGCCCCAGAGCCGTGGGGAGGGCCTTGGCCAACACCTGTGCCAGGGGAGAGAGGCGGGGCCCTGAGGGATGAGGGCTTTTAAAAGACTCTCCCGCTCCTACCCGCCTGTCTGCCAATGGACACTGTGGTCATCATGTGGCTCCTGGCTCTGTGCTTTGCTCTGTCCCTGGGTGAAGTTGGTGAGCGGGATGGGAAGGGGAAGGGAGGGGAGGGGACCCTGCTGTCACATGGCCTTGGGCCCTACCAGCCCTTCCTCTCCCATCGGCACCCCAACCTCGGTCCTCCTGCTCACCGAGTGCCCGGATGTGGGTGCCAGTCTTTCCAGTCTCCCCGAACTCCAGCCTCCCCCTGTGGTCAATCCCTTCGTGGTCGCCATCCTCACCCCATGTCCCTGCTTCCTCCCTGCCGTGGAGCATTCTGCCCTTCCCTAGCCCACTTCCTCGGGGGCCAAAGCTGGGCCGTCTCTATCTTTTCAGGGTTCTCCAGCTCTTCCAGAGACTCCATTATCCCATGTGTCCCTAGAACTGTGAACTTGCCCTCCTACCCCATAGGTCTCTATGGCCTAGTGTTCTGGCTCTCGAGCCCCCAAATTCCTCCACACACCTGCGAATTTTCCAGTTTGGCTCACAGTTCTCAGCCCTGTCCCCTAAATATTGAGTCCTTTTCCGCACCCTGCTTGAGTCCCGTTCGCACAGCTCGAGAGACCTTAAGCCTCCCCGCCCCGTGTCCTTCCCCTGCCAGCCTCTGATTCTGTCTCTCGGGTCCACGACAGTAGCTTCTTTATCCCCTTCCTGGGTCCAAATCCAAGTCCACCCCACAGTTCCTTATTTCCTAGGCCCAAACCCCAAATCATCCTAAGTGACCGGAACCCAAGACCTGCTGCCTTTTCTAGGTGCGATTTGGTGTCTTCTGCCCTTGTTCCTGAGGTCAGCTCACGGCACAGACCCCAAACAGCAACCTCAGTGAACCCAGATACAGCCCCAGAAATCCCGGGCTCTGTCCAACATCTCTGGGCCAGGTGTCCTGACACCCAGCCCCATCCCCACCCTCATGTGCCTTCCAGCCCCCAGCACAGCTCTCTGCCCTGGACCCTCCTGTCCACCCCACACCCAGCTCTTCACTGTCTGCAGGTGCTGCGCACTCCACCCCGCCTGGAATCAGCGGCGGCTGGAAATGCCAGAAGGAGTCCAAACCCTGGCAGGCGGCTCTTTTCCGTAACAGGAGGTTTTATTGTGGCGGCGTCCTGGTGCACCCCCGGTGGGTGCTCACGGCCGCCCACTGCCTCAGAAGGTGAGCAGGCGTTGGGGTGTAACTCAGTGGTAGAGCACTCGCCCAGTCTGGGTTCAATCTCATGCACCCCTCTGTCCCTGCAGCAATGGGGAGGGCCGGGGCTCCACAGGAAAAGGGGCTGCGCATTGCCCCTGCGTGCTTTCCTGTGGGAGGCCCTGAGGGAGGGAGGAAGGTGCTGATCCGGGAGGCCAGAGGAGAGGTTCGGGGCCCCGACCACCCGGCCAGGGCTGCCTGGGTCTCGGTCTCTGCATCTCTGTCTCCCTTTCTCCTCTGACCCAGTGTCTCTGCGTCTCCCCATCTCTGTCCACGTCCGGGTGTCCCTGCGGCTGTCTCTGTCACAGTGTGTCCCTACCCAAGTCTCTGTGTGTCTCTCTGGACCCCCATCTCAGTCCCCTCCCCACCACTGCTGACCACACTCCCAGCATGGACCCCGGGAGCCCAGAGGAGAGGAACGGGTGCACGCCAACCCGTGTGGGGTGCTCCTCACCCTGCCCATCCCGTGCCTGCAGCACTGTCGTGCACAGTGGGAGGCTCAGGAAGGGCTGCCTGAGCCGGGCTGGTGGCGGGCAGGTGGTGCTGGCCTTGGGCTGGGGTCCAGGCCGCCTGCTGGGAGCCCTCAGCTGTGCCCAGCTGCAGCCCAGCTGCTGTCAGGTCCCCTGCCCACCCCAGCCTCCTCCCTCTCCTTCCACTCGCTGTCTGCCCTGTTCCTCTGCTTCCCCTGTGCTCTCTGCTGCCCACATCCCCTCCTTGCTTTCTCTGTTTCTCTGTCCTGCCCTGCCCCGCCTCGCCCACTCCCTCGCCCTGCCCTGCCTCTCTCCCAGGGTCTCTGGCTCCTGTGTGTCTCCGCCGCGTCCTTCCTGCCTCCTGGTCCTCCCTGTGCCCTCCGCCCCCTGGTCCCTGCGTCCTCGTGCACTCTTGCCTCTCCTCTGCTGTGCTCCTGCCCTCGCACCTCCCCCGCCTTTGTTTCCTCCCCCACTCTGTCCTTCTCCGGGGCTGCATCTTTCCTCTCCCTCTCTCCCTCCGGTTCCTCACTCTCTGTTTCTCTTTCTTTTCTTTCGGGACCCTCATCTAGGCCTTTCAACCCACCTCCCTTGGCCCTTCCTCCCGCCTCATCCCCTCCATCCTGTTTTCCCTAGAAAATACCAGGTCTGGCTGGGCCGCCACAGCCTATTCGATGAGGAAGACACGGGTCAGCTTGTGCATGTCCGGGAAAGCTTCCCTCACCCCCAGTTCAACATGAGCCTCCTGAAGCCGCACCACAGCTTCCCAGAGGATGACCACAGCCACGACCTGATGCTGGTCCACCTGAAGGAGCCGGCCCAGATCACAGACTCCGTGAAGGTCCTGGAGCTGCCCACGAAGGAAGCAGCCGTGGGGAGCAGGTGCTTCGTCTCAGGCTGGAGCAGGGCAAACAAGTGTACGTTAGGGACCGGTCAGCGTGGCCTGGGGCTGGCACTTGGTCTGAGGGTGGAAGCGGGGGAAACCCGCCGGGTCTGGACACAGCCCTTTTCCTCCCTGGCCTGCAGATGAGTTTGCCTATGACCTCCGGTGTATGGACTTCAAAGTCCTCCCCAAGGACCAGTGTGAGAAGCCCCTCCTCGAGCAGGTGAAAGACACCATGCTGTGCGCTGGCATTTTTGGAAGTAGCAGACCTCACTGCGTGGTGAGTCACCATCTCCTGCTGCATGCTGCCAGGCTGAGCACAATGTTCTTGGCTGGGCTGTCAGAACCGCACTGGCCCAGGTCCCCACATTCCCCTTGGGATCCCCCCCACCATACCCTCTTCCTCCTCATGACCGCTACCAGGGGCCGCGTGTGCCTCTGTCCTCACCCAGCTCCCGCTCTCACGCCGCACACCCACTGGGCGTCCGCCTGGGGCCCGGCGCTGCCCTTGAGCCTGGGAAGACAGTGCTGAGCAGGGATCA